TAGTAACCTTTATCTATACCCTCCTGCTATTGTGTTATTTTAATTGTATGAAGTCATAATTGTCATTGTTGTTTAGTGTTTATTGATTATATTATTTATTTTCTATCTGTTGAGTGTTGTAAGCCACCCCGAATCCCTTCAGGGAGAGGGGGAGGGTATAAATAAAGCTTATTATTATTATTATTGCCAAAGGCTTTCATGAATGGAATTATTGGGTTGTTGTAGGTTTTTCAGGCTGTATGGCCATGTTCTAGAAGCATTCTCTCCTGATGTTTCACCTGCATCTATGGCAGGCATCCTCAGAGTTTGTGATGTCAAGTTAGAGAGTGCCTTTTTTCAAATTTTATTACTGCTTCCATATGCCTGCCTATCTCACTTCCACCCTCTAAATCTCCTTTTGCTTCTTCATTTGTATTCTCTCAAGTACCCATCCATTGCTTATACAATACGACCCACATATTTTCATGGTATACCCTATTGAAATGAAGGACTTCTGGTACAAGGAAACCATAGTCAAACCAGAGGATCTAGAAAATACCTAAAGAAGACATATTCTATTGGATTTAGACACTGTATACTGCCAGAGCTTCTATCCTCTGCAATTCACCAAGCTAAATTCAAACTTCATTTCCCAACAGCATTCTTGTCCCTCCTCCTTTTTTTCAACATGTGGGCAAAGGAAGTTCCTATTTGCTAAAGGATGTCAGTCAAGAATAGAATAGGCACCTCCAAAGGTTCTTCTGGCTGTGACTCCTAGGACCGGCTTTGTAGGAAACTCCGATTACTAGTTCAAGGGCATGATGTTCTTCTGCTAGAGATACTATCTTAGGCCTTCAGGGAAATGATAACAAACAATCCCAATCTGCAGGTGTTAGGAACAGCAAAAGGTAGGGTGATACATGTGCTCCTTGATATTTTACCACAAACGTAAGTGGTCTCTCTCATTGGTCTCACATCCTGTAGTGCAGAACCACCACCATGAATTATTCTGCATTGCCAGTGCCTGAAAAAAGATATACCTTGGTACATCTCAAGTTGTTTGAGGTGAGGGACTGGCACACTAGAGACCAGCACTGTATGTGGGCCACCTAGACAAAAGAGTTTCTTTCTTTCCCAGAAACTCACTAAGGACTTGTAGCCAGTGGTTTGTGGATCAGCATCATTCAGTGAACCACCACTCTGAGTAGGACATAGATGATCTTTTACATTAGGATTTTTCAACCAGGATTTCCAGAAACCCTAGAGTTCTGTGAAAAGTTATTTGCGACTAGGTGAGAGGCTGTGACTGAAAAAAAAAAGTTGAGCGGTAAGTGTAATAACTACATTGCAACCATTCTTGTTCCCTGAGATCTGGAAATTAGTTCAGGGGTTCTTCCATCGCAAAAAGGTTGAGATGCACAAGCCAAAGATGATACTGAATGGAAGAAAACAATAAATGTTTTAGTATATTGTAAAGGTGGAACATCAATTTGGTACAGGCTGAGAATCCCTTATTTGAATTCCAAAATCTGAAGTACTCCAAAATCCAAAATTATTCCTATGGGTCGCTGAGACAGTGATACCTGTGTTTTCTAATGGTTCAATGTACACAAATGTAATTTCATGCACAACATCATTAAAAAATATATTGTATGAAATCACCTTCAGGTTATGTGCATATGGAGCATAAATGAATTTCATGTTTACACGTGTGTCCCATCACCAAGATATCTCATTATGTACATATATACATACACAGGCATTGCAAAATCTGTGGGGGGAGAGTCCTAAGCAGTTCAGACAAGGGATACTCAACCTGTAGTAATATGTGTCTAATTCAAAAGGGAAAAACCCTTGTCACTTTCACAAAACTCAGAAAAAAGCCAAACACCACTTCAAAATGAAAAGGCTTGTGATGACCTAGGGTTTGTTTCTAAAGTGAAATGAAGGACCCCAACTCTTAGTCATCCTGAATCAGCATAAAGAGCTGTGCTATTTGCCTGGAATCTACATTAGATGCATCACAAAAGATTGTCAGAACCTACTTGGTACACTGAGCTCTGAGTTAAATAACAATACTAAGTTACGTATGCACATGGATGTGAGTAATGCTGTAATGGAAAAATCAAACAATCCCACATGGTTAATTCTAAGGGGGCAAATGTTTCCCCTTCTGACATACAGTTGTTGGTATATATAATTTGGATTATTTTTAAATTCACCAAATCCACCCTTAACATTGCTAGTACAAGTTTTTTTTTGTCGTGTCAGGAGCGACTTGAGAAACTACAAGTCACTTCTGGTGTGAGAGAATTGGCCGTCTGCAAGGACACTGCCCAGGGGATGCTCGGATGATTTGATGTTCATATCATCCTTGTGGGAGGCTTCTCTCATGTCCCCGCATGAGGAGCTGGAGCTGATAGAGGGAGCTCATCCACCTCTCCCCGGATTTGAACCTGTGACCTGTCGGTCTTCAGTCCTGTCGGCACAGGGGTTTAACCCACTGCACCACCGGGGGCTCCAGTGCAAGTTTAAATATACCCTTAATAATTAAAGCAAGTAATGTGAATTTCCACTAGTCCAATGAAAGCACATGATATCAAATGAGAGTCAGGAGTTACTCATTCTTTGCCTTCCTCATGACACTGTTTACTTCACAAAGTGGTGAAAAACATGGGCTGCCCTTTTCTAAAGCAAGAAATGTATACCTGTGTGTAATAAATTCTGTGAATGTATTTTGTGATTCCTTGTATCTAGTACAGTGTGACTTAGTCTAGATTAATGAATACAAAGTTCAAGAGTGTGATGTCCTTGCAATAATGTATGGTTCTAAATTATTTAGAGAGAACAAGAAAAAAACTTGGCAGAAAAGTAACTAGGTCAAGGCTGCCAGAAATAAATAGTTTTTGCTTGATTTCCATGCCTTATATGTAATGTATGACACAGTTGCTCCCCTCCCCCTATTGTATTGTTGCACATCAGTTCATGCTCAGGGACAAATAGCAGGAACATCTTTAGTTCATTAAAATCTAAAAATTATAGGTAATATTATTACAAAACATACACCACACATACACACACATATGAAACAAGGCCTAAAAATGCAGGAAAGAGCCATTCTTTCTAGTCTCTGTTGCAGATTAGATTGAGCCAGGACATCTGGACAGCTGGCCTTCCATACCCAGAATCTGCATTGACAAATACAGCCACCCATGGCTTGAAAATATTCAAATAAAAATATTCCTGAAGAGTAAACACAGATTTTGCCATTTTTGTAAGGGACACCAACTTTACTATGCTATTGTATAAAATGGGATTTGAGCATTCATGGATTTTGGTCTCCGTGGTGTATTATTTATTTATTTATTTCAGTTACTTCTACCCCGCCCTTCTCACCCTTGAGGGGGGACTCAGGGCGGCTTACAAACGAAGGCACAATTCGATGCCTATGTTAATTATACAAACATACATAAAAGCAATTTAAACAATTAACAGATTAAAATCATCAGTACATAATATAATAGTAAACAATCTCATGCTCAGTGTTCAGAGTTCTGAATATCCATTCCATTCCATCACTTCCTGCTCATCATCAGGGTCTTTCCTTTAGCTGCCAGAATGATCCAAAAGCTTGGTCCCATATCCAGGTCTTCAATTTTTTTCTGAATGACAAAAGGGAAGTCGCTGATCTAATCTCCCCAGGGAGTGAGTTCCACAGGTGAGGGGCCACCACCGAGAAGGCCCTGCTCCTCGTCCCCACCAGCCTCATTTGTGATAGAGGCGGGGTCGAGAGCAGGGCCTCCCCAGAAGATCTTAAACTCTGAGATGGGACGTAGAGGGAGATCCGTTTGGACAAATACACTGGGCCGGAACCATATAGGGTTTTGTAGGTCAAGACCAGCACTTTGAATTGTGCTCGGAATTGGATCGGCAGCCAGTGGAGCTGACACAACTGGGGGGTGGTATGCTCCCTGTACGACGCTCCGGTGAGCAATCTGGCTGCCTCTCGCTGGACTAGTTGGAGTTTCCAAGCAGTCTTCAAAGGCAACCCCACGTAGAGTGCATTGCAGTAATCCAACCGGGATGTAACAAGAGCGTGGACCACCGTGGCCAGAACTTAGAACAAAACCTCAGCAGATACCAAGACCCCATTGACAGGACAATGCTATGAAATAAGTCTTATTGAATGGGTGGTTCCTACCTAGATTTGTCTTGTGAAGGGGCAATTCCTCCTGCCTATGAGCTGGAGGATTGCCATGTATCTCAACAGAGAAGTGAAACAGACTGGCTCCCAAAACAAAGAAAGAGTATTTGTTTATTTGGGGGAGTTGTAAATGCAATTATATGAAAATGTATGGACATAAATATTCCTCTATTCAAAAAATAATCCTATGAGGACTGAAGAAGCTTCTTGCCCTGGAGGTCAGTTGAATGTCCATTGAAAAGGAAAAAGCAGGGGGCAGAGTAGGCCTGTTACTCTGGAGGAGCATCCTAGAAGGCAGGAGAAGAGGGCATGCCTCCTCTAACACTCTGATATCCTTATAGAGGATTCCCTGACATCCCTTCAGCTGAACCTTTTAATTCTGGGTAGTAAAAGTAGCCTTGGTTACTTGGCATCAATCCTGAGAGATCAGTAACCTTGTGTAGGTGGCATTTCTCAAAAATGTATATCCGCAAACATGACACCTTTTATCCCAACCTGTTTTTATTACACAACTAATGAAGACACTCTTTGATCAGCTGAACTTTCGTGCCTATGCTCCAAGACAGTAAGATGCAGCAATATGCCTGAAAAATGAATGAGAACTGTTTTATCTCATCTACCCTGTTCGTTAGGCTCTCTTTAAGACTTTGACATACTTACAGAAGACACTTCCCCCACAAGCAGACAGCACACTACATTACCCTTAGCTATCAAATAGCCATATTAAAAATGGATGCTCAAGGTCACTCGGGCAGACCAGCCCTTTACTCTTCTTGTTACCAGTGCACTTAGAAAAACAAAATAAAAACATACATACTTGAATCAGATCCATTAACAAACCAGCAAAGACCATGCCCAGACCTGCCAGGATGAATGGCCCAAAGATCTGTGATGCAATGGAGATAGCTGTTTCTGGAAGTAATCCACTGGCTGATCTGATGAACTTACAGGTGAAACCTCTGAGTTTCTTTCCATGGAAACACAACTCCAATTTCAACTGGGTGACCACCATGGTTGAATGTTATTAACCCATGCTCTAAAAACAGGAGAGCGAGTGGAGATCCAGAAAAGGAGGTGGCCTCACCTTTCGGCTGCACAGTTCAAAGTTGAAGGTTCTTTTCAGCCAGCATTCAAGTCTGATGTCCTTCTTGTCTTCCACCAAACAGCGTGAATATTACTTTCCAAAATGCCTTTGATTTAATTGAACACAATTCCACTATGCTTTGGGACAGCTCCAGTGAGGAAACAGAATCCAGAGGAAAGGATCGGATGGTTAAAACGTGAATGGATAAATACATTAAAAAGAAATTCTTCGGCTATCTCCACTTGGCTGGAAATCCGAGAGAACTGCTTAAGCTACGGCATTCAGAACTACTACTGCAAGGAGTGAGAGGTTGTCTAGGAATACATCAGCCACGGATGTCCTTTCTCCTCAAGTTACAATAAGGTGGTTTAAAACATAAGCCTGCTCTGTTGCAACAGGCACAACTGCTTCAGGCTCACCATGCCAAACGCCGAACTTTTCTCACAGTCCCTTAGACGAGGAGACGGAGGATAGGTTGACTCCTCAGCTTTCTTTTGTTTTTCCCCTTGTTTACTCAAGGTGAAGAAAGGTCACCCAGAACGTGAATTTAATCCTACTGAAGCTACGGATATTATAGAAGAGGTCAACAGGAAAAGCCAGGAATAGGTACTGGCTGGAAGGGCATTTTTATCCCTCAGCTCTCTTTTCTTCTCTCCATTTCCCCAGCTGTGTTAAGGTTGTACGAGTTCAGGAGTATGCGGTCTATATCTCTAAATGACTGACTTGCAGAAGAAAGAAAAAAAACTAGTAAAAGCCAATGAGCTTCAAAGGCTAATCCCCTTATCTGCTGTCATCACTTCAACTTTCAGCTACTATGCAAAGGCCATGATAAGAGTCTCTGCACAAATTCTATTTAAGGTAGTTCTCCAGTCAATGGAAAAGTTTTCTCTGTAGGTTTTTACTTTCCATTCAACTAGTCTGCAAGGGATTGTAATGCATGGCTTTTAACAACACAGAAAAATAACTCCCTCCATGGTGTTGTTACAATTCATGAGCAAGGGCACAAGCATGACGGTGGCCAGAGGAATCCTATCAGTCCAAGACCTTGACAGCATTGGAACAGAAAGTTTTGGTCCAGATTGCTCAAACTTCATCAGCTGTGTGGGTGTTTAAATACTTAGAGTTCTCTGGCTGGGTGTTTTATTATATCTGATTCTTTAAGAACAAAATCTCAGTGCATATTCACTCAGTGTGACTCTATGGTCAACTTCCACCAGAGAGTTGCATTAGAGCAGTGGTTCTCAAATTGTGGGCTTCCCAGATGTTTTGGCTGTCAACTCCCAGAAATCCTAACAGCTGGTAAACTGGCTGGGATTTCTGGGAGTTGTAGGCCAAAACACCTGGGAACACACAGGTTGAGAACCACTGCATTAGAGAATCTATTGCTGGACAGACCATATTAACCAAATTCACTAATAGTCCACAAAAGTTAAACCCTCAGATGCAGGAAATTGACAGTAATGATCATGAATAAAGTCTTGATTTTTTTTGTTGTTGTGTCAGGAGCAGTCGCTTCTGGTATGAGAGAATTGGCCGTCTGCAAGGACGTTGCCCAGGGGATGCCCGGATGATTTTGATGTTTTTATCATCCTTGTGGGAGGCTTCTCTCATGTCCCTGCATGAGGAGCTGGAGTTGATAGAGGGAGCTCATCTGCCTCTCCCCGGATTTGAACCTGCGACCTGTCAGTCTTCAAACCTGCCGGCACAGGGGTTTAACCCACTGCGCCACCGGGGGCTCCAGTCTTGATATGATCAGTAATGACACAAGAAAAAAAGATACTAAAAGCCATCTTCTTTGAATGAAAATTTTACACTGGCATAGCTCCAAAACAGATTATGAGAAATTCCAATTAAAACCTGCTTATATAGCAGGGTTTTTTAAAAAAAGTTCTTTTCTACTATGCACACACGGTCTCATTTGCTACTCTACACAATCCTGTATGGTTGGTGAGGTTACGAGATCAGGATTGCTTTGGGGTGGCCCAGTGGGCTTTACTGCTAGCCACAACTAGGATCTAGTTTCTCATTAAGTAACAGCACTGCAAAACAAGGGTGGGCAAATGCAGAGTGGGTGAGGGTCATTTTCTGCCTGCACCATTGTGTTTCAGCATGGTGGTAATGATGTTACATTGCTTTAGGATTTGGAGTGATTTTGGACTTTTTTGGGGGGAGAATTTTGAGTAGTTGTGGGAGACAAGCTGCCACTTTCGATGCATGTTATATGCATTTTGGCCAGTTTTCAGATGGAAAATTGCCCACCCAAATAATAAGAAATCTGGGGTCTTTGTGGGAGGCTGTAGGGCCCCACGTTGGGGTCCCCTGGGCCACACTCTGCTCACAGGCTCCACTTTACCACCCCTGCTCTAAAAGATACATTAGCCTCATTCAGGTCTGTAGTAGTCTGATTACTCCCAAGTGCAATGGTTGAGAAGTCCAATTAAAATACTCTAAAGCCATCTTGATAGAGACTGGTTAATCTACCAAATGCTTTCCGTGATAACAGTGGATTGCATCACAGAATCTATCTTCCCTAGCTACTTTCCTTTCTACTGAGGCTTTCAAAAATGCTTTGGTCTATCACCTCTATATGAGCCGAGATGGAAACTCACAGGGTAACCTTTAGAAATTACTGTGCCGCACAGGAACAGGCCTCTCCCAATTTCCTCTTCCTATGGAACAATGTCATTTCTTTGAATAAGTGTTCACATCCCTCCTTCTCTTTTAGTGGAATGCAGGGATAGAGGCACTCTTTTTTCTTGCACTCGAGACACATAGCACTGCTTTGGTTCTTACGCATGGGGCAAGAATGGATTTCCCTTCAGATGGGGAAACAGAGGGGTAAATGGCAATTGGGTCTGAGCATGCTTTCTGCAAGGGGGTGGGGTGGATAAAAAGTTATTTACTGCTGCTCCTTCTCTGACCAGTGGATGGGGGTCATTATATTACCTAAATACAAAAGGTATAGCACAGAATCCTTTCCAAAAGGGCAAGCCTGTGCCTTGATTCCCAGGTGCCATCCATGAACAAATCTAACACTGTCATCCCTCATTATGAATCTTGTCTTTTCTGCCCACAATAGTGCCCCCTTGTAGTACAGCACTGATGCCTAGCTGTTCTCAGGAGAGGAGATTTCTATTTCTTTCTCTCTTAGTAATTTTGTGGAACAAGTAATGATTAAAGCAGGGTATCAGGAAAGGATGCAGTAGCACATATGTCTTATGAAAAGGTTCAACAGTCTGGGGTGAATGAGTTTATTGCTCTTTCTCTCTCTCCACCAACACGTCAGAACCATAAAAAGAACACAGGCAGCAAATCAACAGTCAGAAAACAGCAATTAACTCATTAGACCTCAGTGGACAATGAATTATTTTTATTACTGATTTAAGGTGTCTCCAGGAAAGAGGCAGACCTCTCCAACACAGAAATAGGAAACATGTGGATCTATTAATAACTGGAAATGGACATTTTCTTTTCATCACAATTCTCCTATACAGAAACCAGCATCCTGAACCACTGAACAGGCTGTTGAAAAAGACACAAGAGTAACTATAAAATAAACAGCAACAGTTACAAAATAACACACATAAGCATGCGCACAGAAACATTCCAGTATCTATACTGTAACGTCGTTTCTTGTTGATGACTTCGAGTGGTTACCAACTTATGGTGACCCCAAGGCCACTGTATCCAAAAGTTTTATTTGCAAAATTTATTCAGAGAAGATTTGCTTTTTGCCTTGGCTGAGAGAACGTGACTTTCTCAAAGTCACCCAGTGGATTACCATGGCTGAACGAGGCTTCAAACTCTGGTTTCTAGAGTTATTATCTGGTTTAAAGCAGGGTTTTAAAGCAGTGTCATGAGGGGGTTTCAGAGGGGTTGCAAAGGCCATCAGAAAACGTATTTCTGAGTAGGAACCCCTTTGGCATAGACGTTTGTTTTCACAGTGCTCTCCAGATGTAGGCATCCTATATCTCCCCTAAAATTACTGGCAATTCATCCCAAATCCCTCCAGTATTTTCTGTTGGTCATGGGGGTTCTGTGTGGGAAGTTTGGCCCAATTTTATCCTTGGGTGCAGAATGCTCTTTGATTATAGGTGAACTGTAAATCCCAGCAATGACAACTCCCAAATGTCAAGGTCTATTTTCCCCAGACTCCACCAGTGTTCACATTTGGGCATATTGAGTATTCATGCCAAGTTTGGTCCAGATCCATCATTGTTTGAGTCCATAGTGCTCACTGGATGTAGGTGAACTACAACTCCAAAACTCAGGGTCAATGCTCACTGAACCCCTCCAGTATTTTCTATTGGCCATGGGAGTTCTGTGTGCCAAGACTGGTTCAATTCCATTGTTGGTGGAGTTCAGAATGTTCTTTGATTGTAGGTGAACTATAAATTCCAGCAACTACAGCTCCCAAATGACAAAATCAATCCCTGCAACCTCACCAGTATTCAAATGTGGGTGGATTGGGTATTTGTGCCAAATTTGGTCCAGTGAATGAAAACACATCCTGCATATCAGACATTTACATTATGATTCATAAGAGTAGCAAAATTGCAGTTATGAAGTAGCACCTAAAATAATTTTATGGTTGGGGGTCACCACAACATGAGGAACTGTATCAAGGGGTCACAGCAATAGGAAGGTTGAGAACCATTGGTTTAAAGTATATATGAATTGGCTTGGAAGTACAGAAACATTCTTCCATTCCTTCACCCACTTCTTCCAGATCAGGCATCTATAGCTACTAGCCTGTCCAAAAGAACCGTGGTCAATGGGTTCCACCAGCTCCTAAAAAGACCACTGAATGCAATAAATTCTAGCAGAAAATAAACCACTACCTAGAGGCAAAACATCTTGGGGGGGGGGGGGTCTCTTTCAAAGATGGCATCTTCCCATGCTCCAAAATTAAAAACCTATAAAAGAATCTTAAAGGGGTGGTGATTAAATTCTCTATCAATGAAAACCTGACACTCAAAGCCAATAATTACTGTTGCAGGGCATCATCTCTTGTGAGTTGAAGAATCACAGCCAAGTGTATGAAACAGAAGGAGCACAGGCTCCTCTGTTCCCCCTTCAAAAGATAATATTCTTTCAACTAAGGGAGGAGGAAGCAGTTATGGTAAAAGCATAGCAAGAGTCCTAAGATGCAGCGCATTATCTCTTTCTCTCTCATCCACCCACGCACACCATACGCACAATTACTGTACATGTAATTCTAGTAGCTTTGGCAGCGACTATCTATTATTCATTATTCTTCCTGCTCCTTTCCTGACTCTTGAGATAATGCTCTGTCATGTGCTCTGCAAAGGCGAGGGAGCCAAGTAGAAAGAGTAGCATCGGTGATTATTTGCATCTAGCTATTAGTTCAGAGTTATCAACACTCTTGTCTGGTCTGGTCTGATCTCTTCCAAATCTTCAGTTCTTCTGCAAACTGAGAGAAAGGTACTCCTAGCAAGGGGATAGTTTAGGCCTGGGCAAATTTCAGCCCTCTGGGTGTTTTGGACTCCCACAATTCCTAACAGCCTACCGGCTGTTGAAGTCCAAAACACCTGGAGGGCCGAAATTTGCCCAGGCCTGAAATAGTTACTCTGATTTCTATCATGCAACTTTCAAAGAGAACTTGTTGGGGCAATCACATTCGTGTGTCTCTTTTGACATAACTTGCTCTATCTCTTCAATGTA